CAGTGTTCGCAACGGGGCAGTCCGTCCGTCCTGAGGGTAGGACGAGGACGGACTGCGACTCGTAGTCCGTCCGGTCCTGGAGAGGGTTTTGCCCGGGGCTTTTTGGCATGAGGACGGGGAAGACAACAGGGCCCCAGCACTAGTTTATAAAATGTCTTAGATTGTGGGGATCAAATGGTTATTTATCAAGGCAGCGGGGAAAAAACCATACTTGTTATATTCTGGTATCGTTGGTAACGCTCGCTGGATAAGAAAGATAAGAAGTATAGGAGGTAACGAACTGGTGGTATATTGTTAATATGAGAGAATACAGTTTACAAGGTAGGGTATAGTGGGCTTGCTATTTATTCTCTCTTTGAGACTCTTCTCTACAAATATAATTATTGTATCATTATACTTGCAGGTTAGTTCACCAGCCAACAGAAAGATTCTCCTACATGTACAACGCATTGCCATAAAATCTCATTCGTTAGTCTCGGTCCCAGCCTGCCTAAACCTCTAATTTGAGATGATATGTAGGTTACCTGCGATGTGTACAAATGCCCACAGACCCCCACAAATCCCCACAGATCCCCGCAGATCCCCACAGATCCCCACAGATCCCCACAGATCCCCACAGATCCCCACAGATCCCCACAGATCCCCACAGATCCCCACAGATCCCCACAGATCCCCACAGATCCCCACACATCCCCACAGATCCCCACAGATCCCTACCGTCTACTAGTGAAAGTCTGCAGTCCTTTGCCGTCACCTGCAGTCCTTACACTGGGATGGTAAAATTATGTCTCACCATGTGGGGCCCGTGGTCTTTGCCAAAACTTGCAGTCCCCAATATTGTCCGGACTGGACGGACTATGAATTTATAGTCCCGTCCCGTCCCGTCTTCTTGGCAGTCTCCCCATGGGGCCTCCCGGGCCCCCGGACCATTGCGAACACTGGAAAGGAATTGTTCATGCCTTCTTACAGGAGCTCTGAAAGAAGACTAAGTACAGCAAAGAGAGGAAGCCACCATTAACAGTGCTGGTTTCCATAACAGCACACGAGACAGCCACACCAACAACCAGGAGCTCACAGCCCTAACACATACAACCATGCTCCCCCATACATCTTATGACCAACATCATATGATACGTTCCTCCCCATATCCTGCTATCGGGATTATGCCATCGGATACCACTGCACCAGGCATGCACTGTCGAGTTCACCAGCATACCGAGCGTTTCAAAGGTGCGGCTACAATCATGCCAAGCCGATAAAATGAAGCCAGTAGCCTTCCAGAAAAAAGGCCTCGGGATGTGTTCAGATGTGGGGTTGCGCTTAGCTCCGGCCGGGGTTTTGTCTGCTAGATTGATGATCTGTCGCTAGCTGATTCTTGGGGAGTTTTAGGCAGTCGGCTTATAGTACTATACCCGATCATGCCTATCCGGTGTTGAGGCAAGTATTCCCACCATCAGTTATACGACACCATGGTAGTGGCGATAGGGCCGGTGCCCAGTTCTACATGTTTCCCGGAAGATCTAAGGAAAGTGATCGGTTGGTGTTGACTACATCGCACCATCGGTACAGCTTTGGTATGATAGGACCTTTGGAAGTTTCCATCAACTGAAATAAGTGTGAGAAGGGTATAGTATGAGTACCTCATTAACCTAAGCTGCTAGTCCAAATCCAAAAAACCCACCTCTAGGTTCCCGCCACATGCAGAACAACATCCGCAGCATAGCAAGACGGGGAGCCGAGTGCAACCCCATGACCACATATACCACTATGGCCACTACACCGCGCTGAAACCCGCATGTGAGCATAACCTCACAAACAACCCGGGTCGCTGCAACCGACCGGTGTGAGGCACGGCTTACGATAAGATCATCGCACCTTCCCGGCGGCTGCATACACACAAATACAGAGATGCACCCAGGGCCATGCCCCACCGTCGGTGGAAGAGGTGGGCATTCCAGGCTTCGGTAGCTCGGAAGATAATCAGCCTCATTCATGGGTAGGTGAAGTTGGGTCCTGTAAATTGGTCGGGACAACCTCTCCCTTTCTTCTCCCTCACTTCGCACTCCGCAATGATGGGAACGGCGAGGACGATGCTGAAAAGACAGTTTGCCTTTTTCGTTGAGGAGTCGCAGAACATGCCGGAAGAAATTCAGCAACCGGACGGGATAGGGGGTTAGGAGGTTTCGATAGGGAAATGTTTTTTCCCGGGTTTTTCCTCTCTGAGAAACTTGACATGCTCTCATTCTTCTTCCATTTCCTTAATCTCTAGTCATTCTAAAAGAACGGCACAATGGTATAATAGATTTGATAGGAATGCATAAGGGACTTTAGGGGAGAGTCTAGCGTTTGTGGTTGTTCGATGTTAGTCTACTACTATTAGAACAATCCTAGAAGGGTAGAAACACAGCCCGCTTTCATAAGTGGGGTTTAACTATGCTGCAAATATGCTAGGTCCGCTAACCCATATACCCAAATGCGTTTAAAGGTCTATTATTGACTGCGCGGTATTAATGTGATGGTGTTACAAGTGTGAGGCGCTGCATTGCATTGCAGTAAATGAATATTTCTACTACCGGATGGTACATCGTACAAGCTTTGCGCTGTTCCCTAAAGTACGCGTTGGCTCCAGCCTGGTGGTTTAGTAGGTGACGGTTTTTCCAAGCCACCATCGACCGGGAACGGTCGACACCGACGGAGTGACGGGGATCGACTACTAACGGTAGTACTATATCTTTTAGTCACCAAATTGATTCAACTATCACATTATTTTAAGCATTGCTTACATCTCTCAGACCCGCTTTTCCCATAATGCTCCCAAACAGCAACGAGGTATTCGTAGGGAGTTTGGTCTGTCCGTCTATCGGAAAGGTGAGCACTGAAAGGTCCCAGAGGGCGGTCTATCCACCCCTGAAAACGAGACCTATTCACTCTACACCAGCACGATACCAGTACTGATATCACAGCACACCTGTATCTGGTGTCTTATTTCACCCTTCTCCCACCACGAAATTTGTAGTGCCGGAGAATCTGCCTAACCGGAGCTCTAGAAAAGCAGGTCTATAACTCAGTTCAGTCTGGGGTTTCTCCGGTGGACGATAATCCCCATTAGTTTCGTCGGATCTAAGAAAACACCCCCCCCCCCCACCACCGCGCTCAGAACCTGCAGGCTCAGTATTACCGTTCAAGGGTTGGCAGCATATAAGAACGCTATTGTTTCCCAACCATCGGCTTTTGATAGCAACCACAGGGTCTGACCCTTTCTCACCCGTTTCTTACTCTTTACTAAAAGAACCCGGTTTTTCATCCACTCCTTCACACAAGAGTTGATCTCGGCACATAGCTCGAGGATCGCAGGCGGCCAGCTGTTTTATTTCCTTCCTCCCCCCTTTTCCGGAGAAGGAAATTCTGAACTAGGATACATACCACACAGTCCAATGATTCAGGTTTTTACGGTACATTGCAGCTGCCACGCTTATTAATTAGGGGTGGCTGAAATTCCCTCTTCAAGCTTGGAGGTACGGCAGAAGGGAAAACTGTAGGTAGTTGCAGAATCGGTGAGAACCTTGGAGGAGTTATGAAGGGGAGAAGAGCAAAATAGAATTAATGAATACCGGTTAAAAAGCGAACCTCCTGCAGGATCTAGAACTACCCACATGCTTAGAGGTGGGTAGAGGGCAGGCAGCTTGGAAGAAAGAAGCTTCTAATTCCTTGGGACCCTAAGCCACCGATACCAGCTGTGCTGATATAAAAAGGCTTCTTTTCGCCCCTTTGCTAACCCTTACCTGTCGCCCAACACTTCCTCCATCTCACCCTACTCTAAAGCACAGCACACTCCGCCTGGAGCTCAATATACGGCCGAACGATGGCAGGATCTAAGCCTACTCAAAACGCGCGGCCCAACAAGAGGGCGAGGCATACCTTTGGGGCGGGGAGCAGGGGGGGGACGAAGTCTAGTGATACACGTGCAGCCTGGAATCCAGGGTCACTGGACCATCAACAGCAGGTAAGGTCTTCTTCTTTCTTCTTCCTCCTTGTACCCCCTCCACATGGAGGCACAACCATAGCCTCCAAGTTTTGTATATTTCACTAGCAAGGGAGTTCTCAGCTAGCAAGGGTAAGATGCCCAAACCGGGTCATTTTCTGTGATTGTTACCCAATCCGTGGCGAAGATTACCAAATTCGTCCCCTTACCCCCGCTAGTTGAGAACCCCCCTGCTAGTACGGTACAGTACAAGTACTGTACTCGAGTACATGTAAAATATACAAAATTTAGGGGCTATCCCTCCGTGTGTTTCCTTTTACCAAAGTGTTCTTGCCCCCCCTGGATCCGTGGACCCGTGGACCATTTTGCTCCTCACCTAGTCCGGATGCAGTCACATTTGGCTCCCCTGTATCTCTTTAAGTTACCGGGGAAACCTAACTCTCACGAACCAAAAATCCCGCATCCATACAATCCATTATGGGGAGGTGCGGCTATCCCTTAAGCTATTGCGTGGCGAGAGGATGTACGCCATGGCAGACCTACGAAGTTCTCCCTATCTCGAGTTCCGAAATAGGCTAGCCCTACACATTTTATGACGGACTGAATGCCTCAACAGCTCAAGGGGCGTGGGTGAAAATATATGACTCCCATGGACTGTTTGCGTACCACAGTTCTGCTCTATTTTGATTCATTTTCACCTACAAATTCGGCTATTCTTCCATCGCCTAACCGTCATTCTGCATGGCAAGATGGAATGATCGTATTCAACCCGAGTTTTAGATCTTCTCCTGGTAGCTTGCGACGATGGTCCTGGTTGATGGCAGATGATCTTTTTATTCGTCGGTTTCTACACCAGCGGGGACCTTGTTGTGGCACGTGTTATATAGGGCGAATATATCTTAGGGTGATTCGTTTGACTAATACAATGCTTTGTGAGCACCCTAGGGCGGTGGATCCAACTCTTCTGTCAGCCAAGAATGGCCTATGAGTAGAGAACTGGGGGAGCCGGGGCAAGGCGATGGAGGAGACGATAGTCATGTGGGTAGTCCTGGGCACTATTTTTGTGGAAGCCTGTCTTGACTTTTGCACTGTTATGGTGATGCTATAGACTCCCGTGCACCATGCCCGTAGTGCCGTAGAGGAGGAATCTGAAGGTGAATCTTGTGGGGTGGGCTTTGCCACAGCCTCCTGGCAAAATATCTATGCGCAGATGGACAACAACGCCAAATGGGTGCTTGCTAGCGGTCGTAGCGTGGAAAATGTCATCTATGAGGCTTGCAAGCTGATGAACTCTCGCACACGTGAGTGGTCTCCTGCTCGATTCTTCATCCTGGATATATTGGATCCTGTGGTCAAGGGCTGGTTTAGGGAGAATGAATGGGCGGAGATAACGGCAAGATTATCTCCCTTGCCAGATCCTGAGAGCATGTTACTCGATTCATTGAAACGATTCCGTACCATCGAGACAACAACTATGCTCCGTGAGGTCCTTACGTCAGGTTTACTTCCTAATGCCGCTACCTACGACCAAACCCTTCATTCTATTTTGCAATGGGCCGAGATGGTCATTCGTAAATAGTACGTATTCCTGCCTTTCTTCCCCCCTTTGTTCTCTCCCTTGTACACGATCCCTGCGTAGAGACAATACTGATACCCCACTCCATTCCAACCAGTTTAATGCTCCTCGAAGCACCCACCAATCCACTTACGCGGCAACATCAAGAAGGCTGGTACGGCTACAACATCTGGTCTCACATCCTCGACGACTGCTTCCTAGACCTCAAGGGCCTGACCGTCGAGCGCAAGGAAGTCCATTGTCAGGCCTCCTCAGAGCGCAAGAACCGCCACAGGGAGAGCCCTACAGAAAGGAGGAGAGTCGGGAACCGCCTTGATGGGATTATCCACACCTTAGAGGACCGCCCTCTTGAGTACGGCGGGATGGAAGACGGGCCAACCTTCTCTGACGTGAAGAATACGAAGTGGCTCTCTGACAAGTTCAAACTTGTTGAAAATTTGCGGGACATGCTCTCCAGGCTGCATGAGGAAGTACATTATGACTCGAGAATCACACGACTGGTAAAGGTTGTTGGGATTTTAACGGGAGGGTTGCGGCTGCAGTATTCTCTCTTAGGATACCCGGGGGTTGGGTATGTATGTTTGCTCCAGAGTGGGGAGGTAATGCAAGTACCAATCACTGTCAAGGGGCTCCCGCTGCTGCTTGATATGCTGGCAGTTGTTTCGCAGCTGAAGCAGGTGATCAAATTGTCATTTGAGGCGGTAGAGAACAGGTTTTTTGCCCAGAAGGAGGATGCTTCTTGTGATGGATTGGTTGGCGGGAACGCCATGAGGAGCCAGGCGAGGTTAGGTTGGGCGCCTTGCACCCCATAATGGGTGGGGAAAGGCAGGATGAATTACATTTGCAAAGGCCGACTTGAATGTTTTGGAACTAGGTTTGCATCCCCTCCGCTCTATGTTTATACTGGTCTTGTAACTCTCTATATTGTCCCCGAGCAGCTAGGCCATAATGAAACACTCACGCAACCGATTCCATTAGGTAATTTAGCTTCTAGAGTTGTTCCGCTGCCGATTTGCCGGATGCAAAAATGTTGGTAGTAAGAGAACCAGAGAGTACGATGCCGGAACTCGTTTCAAGAGCACCGCATGCGACACGATTCATCACTGTCTTTTTTTGTTTTTTTTGGGCTATTTGGAACTAATGGGCGGTTAAATTGCGAACGAAGTTTTCCTTATGAGTTTTGTATTTAGTTCTTTTGTGAATTGGGTTGAATATGAAGTATTGAACCATGTATTGATATATTTCTTGTACCGCGCATCGCGATTTGCATGACGCAGAATTAGTTGGAAAGAGTGGTCGAAATGACCGCTCCATACTGGGAAGGCTGTCACTCAATATAGCACTCTTGCCGTCAGGACAGCATTGAGCCCCAACATAACGTTAATTGGGCTCCTGTGAGGAAGGCTATCACATACTGTATGGAATGGACAACGGGATGGTCGGCCACCCGCTGTCTATCCGGGATGGGGAAAGACATTGCTAAGGTCCGCAACTGGCCTGGTAGTACCACCAGGGTTATGGCTGGCGCCAAGCAATATTAGCGGATAGGCTGTATGAAAAGAATCAAATGAAATAATAGCTGGGCGGCCAGGGGTCCGTAACTCCCGGATACCCCATAAATACTGAAGTGGGTTGTTGCCGCACTAAAACAGGTTCTCATCGGCATTAGGGAGGTTCTGCTAGGACGGTCGTAATTGGAACTGTACTTATTGCCAGAGCAACGACGCTAACCATTCCAAATTGGTATAAGTACAATGTGGCTCAACTTTTGTAAAGTCCTAAGAACTGTTCTTAAATAAGACGGTCGTAACAAGGGTGTGTTGACATGTTTGTTGACTGGGACGGTGAGGAGATGAACCATATCCCAACTGACGTCAAGCTGTGTTGTCAACTTTACTTAGCAAAACCTGAACTAAGGAATTGTCTATCGCCACAACAGACCTTGCCAAGATTTAAGCACAGTTCTTATTACGACCGTCGTAGCAGAACCTCCCTATTAATGCTGTGGATGACTGCTTTCCTAAGCACCTGCTAGAGCTGATTGGGTCATCGAAGGAAATTCATCCAGAGTCCCGCGGATGCAAGTATTTGTCACCGGGAGGGACACCTCACTGAGGATTATATTGTAAGGTATTTGACAGGTAGGATTATAGTACCTATCGGCCTCGGCACGGATGAGATAAGGAGCGATTAGGAGAGGATATTGGACCACTGCATGCCCAATGCGAGGCCAAATGCATTACCGTATTTGACCTAGTTCAGGGAGACTACCTAGTTATGGGACACTTTTTACAACTCTTATACCCCCTAAACAAATAAGAATCACAATAGCTGTTAAGGTTCAATTGAGCCACAACTTGGAATTAGTATCTATGGTACTCGAGACCTCTGAAAACCGCCAGTACAAAAAACCCGGAAAGACTGCGCTAAAATACACTATGAGACAAATGCCCGGAAAGACAGCACTAAGCTACGGCGGGTTGAAGGACACCGGGGAGGGAAGAAAATAAAATGAGAGGGGAAAAAAAAAAAAAAAGAGGAATGGGTAAGGGGTGAGTGGTTAGCTTTGATACTGGAAATAGAAAATATGATATGTGAGGGGAGAATAAAGTTACCCTACCTTAATCTCAGAGGTTTCCCTACTTGAGATCCAGGTAGTTACCCTACCTAAGCTACAAGTAGTTACTGTACCAAAGTATGAGAAAGTTACCCTACCAGGCTTGGGCTACTGTCGCTCGGAGGGCAAGGAAGCCTTCTCGGAAACCTGCAAAGCCTGGCTCAAAGCCAGCCAAATCCTCGTCTACCTCAGTTAAGCCCCTTACTGAAAAGAAAAAGGGCCTCACCATACGTAAGCGTTGGCTGATCATCAAGCAAGATGCTACCCCCCTTACCATCACTGCTGTACAGCTACGCGACAGCATCAATGAGGCTTTGGACTCCATTCTTGTTCAGTCAGTCTCCTTTTGGGATGGGCATGTCACTCTCACCTCTATGAACACGGTTAGAGCCACAATTGTCAACAGCAAAGTTGGCATCTTCTTGTACCTTATTTCTGGTGCCTCTACAGTCCACCTCAACACACCTGCCACCTACCTTCTAGTATATAGTATCGCTACCTCTACCTCTCTGGCGTCACTTGCCTAAGAACTCATGACATTTAACTCAGGCTTATCTCTTACTGAGCAACCTAGGTAGCTTACCTCTGATTTAGCATGTATCAGCAAATTTGCCTCAACTGTTGTTATTTCCATCACTGGATCCAAGGCTCATTTCTTTGATGGCAAATGCCTCTCTGCCTTCTCCAACACCTACTAAACTGAGCACTGTCTACACTTTAACAAATATGCTCAGTGTGCTAACTGCCATAAGTTTGGTCACCACAGCATCAAATACATCCTGCCTGCATCCTGCCACTGGTACCTCCTTCCTCACCCTACTGGGGATCACTCCTGCTCCACTGCTACCTGTTGTCTTTGTGGCCATCCCTGCAGCCATGCCATACTCAGGTGTGTAAACTGTGATGGCCCATATGAATTCCATTCACCTGTTTGCCCTTCTCACCCCTGTCCAGATACCCTGGAGTCTGAGGCCTTGGAGGAATATGAAGAAGAGGTGGACATGGACAGCTCTAGATAGGTTGGGATACCTATAACGATAACACCAACTTCTGGAGTGGTGTAACTGGAGCTGGTACTCGGTTAAGTTAGGTTGTTTTATGTTTTGTTTTAAGTATCGGTTGATACTTGGTTATTTTTATGCTTTGATTGAGTAAGAACATGAGTGAGAATTCATGATCGTACTCAAACACATGTACTTAAAAAGACCGCTGTTTTCCACCTGGAAACGGCAGACTTCAACAGACAGTATTCTAATATACTCGGTTGAACGGTTATCTTTATTTTCCGAGTACGCCACCGAAGCCTCCCTTAGCGAGCCCAAACCTATTACTCTCTAGCAGAAAAACACTTAGCTTCTATTGTATACAGCAGCGTGACTAGCGCCCCGGCATGAACACGACAAGTGGCTTAGGACGGCTATCATAGGAAGGGGTCTTGGAAACTAGTTGATGAGGAGGTTGTCACAGCAG